TGCCCTGTGTGGTGGCACACACTTGCAATCACAGTGCTTGGGAGGCTGAGGAAGGAGACTGCAAATTCCAGGCAGGCCTGAAATACTAAGTGAGTTCAAGGACAGCCTGAACTGCATAGAGAGACCCTGTCTCAAAAAAGACAATAGATACAATAAATTAATGAGTATAATAGCAGCACTATGAATACTTAATACCAATGTACATCACCTTGCTTATTATTGCTTGTTGGTTTCACACATTGCTCTGACCCTTACAGGTAAGGGGATGGTGCTTTCATGACCCCTGAGAATTCTAGGAAAGAGACATCAGAGACTTGAGGTTAGATTCATCTGACTGTTGAGACACTGGCAGAGGTATCTGGTGTTCCTGTTTCAGACAGGCCAAGCTTCAGGTGCCAAAGAACCCAAAACTCACAGCAAGGGTGAGGACCTTCATGGTTGATCCTGGACCCAATAAAAATTGAAAAAAAATAAACTTTAAATTTTGACTGGTTTAAAACTTTAAATAATGGATCTTTCCCTTATTTTCTTGTGGCAACAAAAGAAATTGCATTCCCAGGACCTTATTTGGGAATTTAATAGTAGTGACTAGCTGGGTATGGTGATGCATGCCTACAATCCCAGCATGCATTACAGTCCCAGAAGGCTGAGGAAGAAAGACCACTGGAAGTTCCAGAAGGCCAATATGAGCTAAAGTAAGTTCAAGGTCACCTTTTACTTCATACTGAGACACTGACTTAGGCTGGCCCTGCACTCACTTTGTAAGCCACGCTGACCTCAAACTCACAGAGAATCAGGAACCCAGCCAAGAGTCCTGATTATCAATATTGAGAACCTGGCCAAGAATCTCAATTGTCAGTCTCAAGAATGCCACAAGAAAAATAAAAAACAGACAAGTATCATATTCCAACAATGGCTGGGAAATCAGTGTCTCTATCTGACGACACCCTCCTCTCCCAAAGCAGCCACTATTTATTAGCTGTATACTGTGAATAGGTGGGGCTACTAAAGGATCACAATTCATCTGAAGACTCTGACTCCAGAGGGTGTAGATAATCGTACGTTTTGAAGTATCTTGATCCAAGTCTAATCCTAAAATGATTTAAGAAGGCATAGATGAGCTTATGTTTAGAAGTATCTTGTCCTTGAGTATAATCCTGAGATGGTTTAAAAGGCATAGATGATCTTATGCTTGGAAAAGTCAATAGGAAATCCCAGATGGGTGGTATCACCAATCCAAATCCTTCCTTTTCCCACAGGGAAATACAAAAACCAGTCACTGTGAATTTGTGGTCCCCAACAACAGAGATCCTCCTGCCTCAGCCTGCAAAGTGAGCTCAAGGCCAGCCTGAGCTACCCTGCCTAAAAAGATTAAAAAACAAATATATATATATATATATATATATATATATATATATATATACACACACACACACATTTAAATTTAAATCTTCCATTCTGACATGAGAGTCTACAGATAAATAAATATGCTCAAAATAAAGGAAAAGAATATGAAAATACAAAGCATTTTTGAAAAATTATTTGACAGATATGGTGGTACACAACTATAATCCCAGCATTGGAGGAGGCTGAGCCAGAAGAATCACTGTGTTTGAGTTCAGTCTGGGCTATTAGCAAGTTCAAGGCCACTTTCAACTACAGTATTGAGACTGTGTGTCCCCCACATCACAAAAATATATTCGACACCCAAACAAAAGCATGACATAAAACTCAGCATCCTGAAGGGAAAACATTCACACATTTAATTTCACTAAGAATTCAAGAATTTGTATAGCTGAAAAAAATTCTAAATAAATTAAGCACATAATTTCAGGCAAAAGCAAGGCCAGAGTGATTCAACTTCAAAAAATAAAAGTCCACTTTTAGATTCAGACAGTTTATGACCTAGAAAAAAACAAGAAAAGTACCCAAAAGAGCCAACTTTTGGGTCCTTAAGCCATACACCAAAATGGATGACACTGAAACAAATGGGATCAACAGCTGCAGTGCAAGACGTGGGCTGCGTTGTACTCTGTCACTGAGGAGCCAGTTCTAGGCAGCAGTTTTGTGGTACGTGTGAGACGGAAGAGCTGCAGAGAGCAGCATCTGCAATCAGAGCCCACAAGGCTATGAGGAGCTGTGTGAGGACAGGCTCCAAGCTGATTGCTCCCTTGGGAGCCTTTCCTAAGCCTCTACCTCTCTTGTTTTAGGAAGGATCAAAAGTGCTTGGCTCTGCCTGCCAAGCACAAGGTCCTGAGTTTGATTCTCGATACAAAAAAAAAGGACAAAATGTAGGATGGTCTCAGTTTAAGTGCTTGCCTGTGTGACCTCTGTAACCTGTCACCTGGGCATCACAGTGGAGTATTTCCTTATGGGATTCAGAAGAAAACAAACTGGGAAGTGTGTGTGTGTGTTGCTTGGGATTTGGGCTAATTATTTTAACAAGTTTGCTTATCCTGTAGGGTTTGGAAAGGGTGCCAGGGACATGTGGTAGGAAAAGTGGTGATTATGATCGGATTATGATGTAGTCACATCAAGCTGAATCTATACAACTTGGAAACCACAACATACAGAAATCTTATTTTACTTATTATTTATTATTATTAAGTTTATACAAGTTTATGGTTTAAAGAATCAAGCACTCTCACAACAATTGTAATGGAAATCAACAGTCTCTTCCCTGGGGAGACGGCACATGCCTGTTACCGCAACACACAAGAGGCCAAAGCAGGAAAATCAAGTGACTCTGAGGCCAGCCTGGACTACATTGCAAGACTCTGTTTTTAAACAAGAAAATCAACAGTCTCTTAATCCCCTCCCATTTCTCACTCCTAGAGATAACTATTTTTTATTTATTCATTTTTAAAACTGAGATATAAAAACACACATATTTAAGGGTTAAATATGTTGTCAATTGAAACATGAAAGAGCCCAAATCCCAAGCAACACACATACACACACGTGCGTACACACACACACTTTGCAGTTTCTTTTGTAAATAGCAATTTGCATGTGTTGTTTTGATTGAAATAAATGTTTTTTCCTTTTTTGGTACTATGGATCAAACTCACAACCTTACACTTGTCAGGCTGGCCCTTGTCTTGCTGAGCTATATCCCCAGCTCCACAAATCTTTATGCTAAAGCATTCAAAATCCTTTCTTCTAGATTTTCTGAAATACAGAGTTCATTATCATTGTGTTTAACCACCCTACTGTGCAGTAAAACTTTAGAACTTATTTCTGCTGTTTAACAGTTACTTTGTGCCCTTTGAGCAGTTTTTCCCCCATTTCTCCCTACTCTCTACTCTCCCCAACCTCTGATATCAGACATCATACTTTCAATTTTTTTATATTGCACATTGAGTGAGATCATGCTGTGTCTTCTTGTGCCTGGTTTAATTTACTCAACACAATAATCTCTGGTTCCATCTATTGCATTGTGATGATAGGATTTCATTCTTTTTTATTATGATAGAATTGTGTTCCATGGTGTATATGTACCACTATTTTTTAAATCTATGCATCAGCTGATGGACACTTAGGTTACTTCTATTTCTTTTTTCTTCCTTTTTCATTTATTAGTTATTGTTAGTGCTGCTTAGATAAACATGAACATGCAGACAGCTCTCAGATACACTGATTTTATTTCTTTTGGAAAAACAGTAAAGGATTGGTAGGTTTTATGGTAGTTCTATTTTTAACTTTTTGAGGATCTAGAGGTAATTTCAGTACTTTTTACCAATGATTGGTTATTTGTCTCTCTGTGTAAGTAAATATTGTTAGTCCTTGATTTTTCTGATTTTAGGCACTGTTAACCTTTGTGTCTAGATGTTCCCCCAAAACCTCATGTAATTTTACATGGGGCTTTTTCAGAGGTAGCTAAATTTAGAGTTTCTGATTGATTCATGGTCATTGCTGTGATTTAAGAGTGTGAATGGTGGACTGGGGATACAGCTCTGTGGCACAGTGGCTGGCAATTGTAGGGTCCTGAGTTTGACTCCCAATATTAAAAACAAAAACAAAAACACAATAAAACAAAAGAGGGTGAATGCTACACCTGTCCTAGATCTGCATAGAATATAAGGCACAGAAAGAGACTCATCTCTTTTTCCTCGATTGTTGCTTTTACTCTCTATCACTACCATGAACTGTTTGCCTCTCTACCTTGTGCCACCTTGCCTTGGAGCAGGCTGACTCAAACCACTACACACTGTGAGCCCAATAAGTCTTGCCATCTTCAATTTTCTTAATTTTTATTTTTTTGGTACCAGGGATCAAACTGATGACAACTTTGTGCTTGCTAAGCAGTCACTTATGCCACTGAGCTAAATCCCCAGCTTCAAGCCTTGCCTTCTTTAACTTTTGGGTGTCAGGTATTTTATCTCAGCAATGAGATCAAGGTAACTAATACAGGGACTTTATCTTTTCTTTACATGCTCCCCTACAGTTAGCACTGTATGCATGCACACACAGACTTCTCATTCCTCTGTCTTCCCAATCCTGATCGTTGCTTTTAGGTGTTAACCAAACCATGAGACCCAAACGTTTTGTCAGATATCAGTTTATATGTCCCATGAATTGCTGTGAAGGCTAACATTTAAATCAATAAGTCAATAGTCTTTTCTTTTTTCTTTTTGTCTTTTCAAGACAGGGTTTCACTATGCAGTTCTGGCTGTCCTTGAACTCACAGCAATCCTCCTGCCTCAGCCAAGAACTGGTATTACAGGCATGTACCACCATACCCAGTTTAAATCAGTAGTTTTTGAATAAAGTGAGATACCCTTTATAATGTGAGCAAGTTACTGGTTCACTTGAAAGGCTTAAGAGGAAATAAAAATAAGCCATGAAAGAAATAACTATGTTTCTAGACTGCCTACAGATTCAAACTGCAATGTCAGCTCTTCCCCGGATCTTCAGGCTGCTGGGCCATCCCACAAACTGTGGATTTGATTATATTATTTTAATTTATATTAACAGATGAGCCATACAATTTAATGTAGTTGGCTTTGTACAGTAATGTTTATTTGCAATAATGTTATTATTGCATTTGCTTCGTTTTCCATGTATTTATTGTTGAACTAATATCAGTTTTTCCTCAGTTTTGTAAATCTCCCCTCAACACATTCAAAACACATACATTTCCTTATCTACCCAATAAATCTTTGCTCCTGCCTGGTCTTCATCTTTGGGCCTATCCCATAGCTGATGTCATGCTATGTCTTTTCATCCCTGCACTGAGAGGTCATTGGCTCTCTTTTGAGAGCATCTGCTTCATGCATCAGTGGTCTTCTATCTGTTCATGTCTTCTCTTTGACAGTGAATATCCTTCTGTAATCTTGCAAAGAGGTTGCCATAGAACTTTTGATGTTGCACTTCTGAAAAAAAAATGTCTGTTATATGCATACATTTAACAAGTAAGTGTTTTATTGGATAGAGAACTTTAAGTGGAAATAGCTTTCCATTTGATTTTTAAAGACATTATTCTATTTTCCATAGTTGTTATTAAAAAGAAAAATAAAGTCTTTGGCCACCGTCAGCTTTGAGCTGGTCTGATGTAGACATCTAGGTCATGATGTTCTGTTAAAACTAAAACAATTCACAGAATACTTTCTGACCATGAAGAAAGAAGCAAAAAACAACCTCAAAACCATATCTGACAGAAAGTCAACACATTCCAGACCACAGATATGATCCAATATCTCCCCTTCCTAACTACTATTTATGGCTTTTGCTTCTTTATCAATTATATATTAACCCTGCTCCATTCCGCCCATCTCACATGAAAACTATTATGATTTAGAATAGAATTTTGTCTGTTCTCCCCTGGTTACAATAGGCCATGAAACCAAACTGCCTGAGTGCACGTTTACGCTTACTGGCTATGAACTGGAAGCATCTACGCTGTAGTATACATACCATTCTGATTCTTGGTTATTTGTATCAAATAGTTCGCTTATCTCTCTTCTTAAAAGGCCACTCAGAATCTTTTCAATGTAACAATATATTTTAATACCATTCCTGAGAAGTATATATATATATATATATATATATATATATATATATATACACACACACAAAGGTGTACATTCATTTCTTACAACTACCATCACCCTTGTAATACAAAGTCTAAGAATGTCCCTCACTTTAGAATCTTCACTTAATTTTGTTTTAATAAACTTATTTACCTACCAAGGAGAAGAAAACGAGTGTTTGCATTTTAAGTCGTCTTTATGCATCAGCGAGGTGGGATGAAAGAAGCCGGGAAATTACTGGCTCAGAGGCACGGCTCATCCCACCACCTCCCCAGGAGGAGTCGGAGATCTTGCCAGAGCCTCTGGTCTTCACGGATGCTGGTACTCAACGTTCAGATTCCTGTTTTGTTTTGCTTTTTATGAATTTGTGTTTAAAAAAAAAAAAAAAAAAAGCAGCAGAAGAGGAGCACGAGCAGGAGGAAAAGAAGATGCAGTAGCTGCCGCCGCCTCTGAAATCATTTCCCCAAATTTGAAATTATGGCTGCAGCGGGGATTTAGAAGCTCGTGATTTTGTTTGTCCTCTTCTGTGAGTAAGGACTTAATACATTTCGATTAGAGTGGAGAGGGAAAAAAAAAAACACCCGCCCAACGTGGGGCTCGAACCCACGACCCTGAGATTAAGAGTCTCATGCTCTACCGACTGAGCTAGCCGGGCGCTGGCACGCTTTTCCCCCTAATTGTTTATCTGCTTCTCTAGTTGACACTATTTGACGTAATTTTATGTTGTGGGATTTAGTGGCCGCACTAGCCTTTCAGTGATAGTTTTTAACCCCTGACCCCGAGGCTTGACAAAGACTGGGCAGGGCCAAGTGCCAGCGCCAAGTCACAAACCTTGCCATTTCCTCACATTCTTCCTGGACCAGGTCACTCTGATGGCGGGTTTCCGCCCGGAGCTGAAGGAGAAGCGAAAGGGCGCGAGGAGACCTGAATGAGGCCGGAGGGAAGCAGGCGCGCGGGAGAATCGTGCTGGGCGGCTGCAACCGGTGCTTCCTTCAGGCTCCACAACCCGTTGCCTGTCTAAACCAAGATGGGGTGGATGGGGGTGGGGTAGGGTAGCGGGCGTGTGTGAGGTAAAACAGGCCCTTGTTCACTACTCTGGGACACAAGTTTGCTTTTAAGTACTCAAAGTCTCAGTTGCCTGCGCAAAAGGCCAAGGTCGTCAAGTGCACGGGTTCCACCGCAATGAAAGCCCGCAGGGTTCCGAGTCTCGGGCGCTGGCCTCGCAGGAGGCAGCTCTCACTTCATGCTCTGGGCTCTTGGTTTTCTAACGTCTGAGGAGGTGCCGGGTCGGGCAACATGTTGGAGGCCCTAATTTTTTAAAACCTAAAGTTTAAACGGAAGTAAACCGAGCCTTACAAGGAAAAAAAAAAAAAAAAAAAAAAAACCAACTCTTATGCCGTGACTCGGATTCGAACCGAGGTTGCTGCGGCCACAACGCAGAGTACTAACCACTATACGATCACGGCGAGCCACCTGCAAAGTAATGAGGGGAGGTTCAATTTAATGCATTTTGAAATAGGTCGGCTCTGCGCGGCTCTGTCTCTACTGCGCGACACAGAGGCCCCGACACCCCTCCCGCGTAGAAGACCTGGAATCCGGAATCCTTCGCGTCAGGTCCTGGACACAAAGAGGCAGCTGTAGGCCGGGGCCGCGCGCCCAGTCACCCTCCTTTTGCCCCTCCAAAGAATTAGACCGTCCTGCTCTGGAGTTCAAGAGGCCGCACCAAGGATTTTCCTGTTTACACCTCCAGCCTGTGCTCTGGAAGCTCGGTTTAAGTTTCCAGAATGGCGGACCCGGAAAGGAGCGGCGAGCGACGTACGGCGTGGACCGCGAGGAACTGCTTGAGCACAGGGTTTCTTTCTCCCCCTCCAGTTTTCAGAAACCAAGGGCGTTTTTGCTGCTGACTTAGCCTGCTTCCTCGAAACCGCCCCTGAAGATTCAAAAAACAAACCGAGCCAGCCTCTAGACACTTCCCAAGAAGAGAATTACCCTAAGTCGCTGTGAGTGCAGCGGTGGATCGCAGCGGACACGCTCACACTTGCCTTGCATGTGGAGCCACAGACAACACCAAGAGTTACTCTTGGGAGATACTTCATCTACCAGGCCGCGGACTCGGGACCTACTGGTGGTCAATGGCCTTTTTTGCTTTGTCCTGTGCTGTGGGGCTTTACCCGACCACCAAAAGTCAGGAGTAAAAAAAAAAAGAAATCGCTGCGTTGGCCGGGAATCGAACCCGGGTCAACTGCTTGGAAGGCAGCTATGCTCACCACTATACCACCAACGCGTGGTGTTACTCTTTTCTCCAGTTTCCCTATGAATATTTGGTATCAAGTTCCGCTCCTGTAATGATCTACTTTGAGATTTACATTAAAAGAAATTATAAACTATAAAGCCAAAGAAGAAAAAAGAAAACCTCTTTAGACCACTTCGCATTGACAGTTTTGTGATAGTTCTTGTTTGACAGATTCAACAAAATTCTGTCTCTCTCTCTCTCTCTCTCTCTCTCTCTCTCTCTCTCTCGTTTTATTGGGGTTTTTTTCAAACAGAGTCTCGCTGTGCAGTTCAGGCTGGCCACCCAAGCTGGTCTCAAGCTTGCAAATGTTTCTCCTGCTCTCACCCTCCCAAGTGCTGGGATTACAGGTGTGCGCTACCATGCCCGGCTCTATCATTCTTTATTAAGGAAATTTTTGAAATGCAAGGGACAGGTAAACTCCTCAGATTATCACTGCAATACATAGTTGCTCATTTGAGATCAAAGTGCTAATCCTTAGGACAAATACATGAAGTTAAAGTTGCACTGAGAAGATACATTTTAAAACTTGGATGCATAGTGCTAAATGTTGAATGGCCAGATAATCCCTTTTTGCTGTTTAATGAGTATTGCCAAATAAACATCGATATAAATAATCATTGTTTTCATCTTCCCAAAAGTGCAGGGTAAAACTATAATCTCACTAACTTGCATTTGCTTTATTACTATTGAGATTGATCATTCTTTATAAATTTGTTGATTATTTGTATTAGTTTTGAGATTAATCAGTCATGTATTTCACCAGTTTTTCCGTTTGTATTTATGTTTTCCTCTGATTTACACCAGTTTACCCTTTGTTTTTTAATATAATTTGTGGAGTTTTTTGTTGTGGACCACAAATTATAAATTGAGGCTAGGGCCCGGAGGCCTTATTGGAGGCCTTACTGGTCCTGTGATACTATGATACTCCAGGGCAAGATTACATCAGCATAGGATCACCACTGCTGTTTGAGTCATCCAATAGTCCCTTCGATTATTGTGTGCACCCAAGAAAAAGCCGCTAGTTTGGAATGTTATTGTCTTTGCCCATTCTGAGGCATTGACCTCCCAACTCCCCTGTCATGCACTACTAAACCAGTCTGTTTATTTTATCCTTTTGTGGTGTTCGCAAATGAGTGCAGGCAATGAGGCCTTACCAGGTCCCTGATAATTTTTAGATAGCAAGTTTTTTTGTTTGCTTGGTTTTTGGGTACCAGGAATTGAACTCACGATGGCCTTCTTTGTTTTGAGACAAGGTCTTGATATGTTGTCCTGGCCTTGAACTCACTGTGAGCCCAGGCTGGCCTTGAACTCATAGCAATCTTCCTGCCTCAGTTTCCCAAGTGCTGGGATTAGGGATGTGCACCGCTACACCCAATTTGTTTTATTTTTGTAGCCTAACCTATTGGTTAAGAAGTTTCTTTTAAGAAAAGAAACTTGTGTTTCAAAGTTTAAAACCAACACGCTGAGTTCACAGAAAATCCTCTGAGATGCTTTTCTAAACTAAATATGTTTCCCTTTAGACTAACCCAAGAGAGATTACATGTGTTAATTTCAATGGACAATCATTGCAGTCCTACCTGTACATGAAATTGTACCCAGACCATCTAAACTGGATTCTGAGTGTTCTTAGTTATCTTCTAATTTCACTAACTGCCAAAGGTTTCCTAGGATAATATAAGTCATTTGAATTCCTTGGCTACTTTTGCAGATGAAACCCAAAGAACTCTTACATGACTGTGCTTGGAGAAATGATTTTATAGGCAACAGTAGCAGTTCAGTCTATGCTGATCTGGTCTTTCAGGAAATAACCTGCAAAGCAGTTCACAGTTCTGACTCATCATGGACACATGAATGAAATCTTCACTTTGTGTCCAAACTCAAGTCCGGAGACAGGATGGCTGCCACAGGGTAGCTCCTGGAGGATGCCTTTTTCAGCCTCAGAGACTGAGACAGAGAATGCATTTTCAGAAATTTCATCAAGAAGATTCTTCAGCTCAGCATCAGAAGATGATGAGTTGTCACAAAACTTTTTTCAAAGTCACATCTAATACCTTCAGTTTTTAAGCTGCAACATGCAACTCTGCTTTTCATTGTCTCTGCAGATGCTAAAGAAAGGCCATTGCCAAAACCCTGAGGCCGCTGACCCCGCTCTGCACCCGATGGCAGCTCCTATGTCTTCTATAATCTATCCGTCTTCTACCTTATTATCTCTGCTTTGTTTTTATCTTGAAAAAGTCCTCTCTAGCGTAAACTAAGATAATCGTCTACGGGTTTTTGGAAACTTTTTAGTAGCTTCAGTTCTTCAATTCATGTGATAGGCACTATGAGGAAATAATTCTATTTCTAGAAATAAGAACGTATGTAGGGATACACATAAAAATATAGCCACGCAAATGCTCATCAGAATATTATTTGTAAAACATAGGGACTAGGAAAATTTTAAGGTGAACACTCATAAATACAATTGGTTAGATTTATTTTGATAAAAATAAGCATTCATCATTATTATTATCTTTATATTATACATTGCTAGTGGAAGGGTTCCTTGGTATAATCTGTGTAAATGGTAAATGGCTTTGGTTCTATCCACAAATGCACTTGTTTTTTAAACTAATGTTTCGACTCCTGGGCATTTTCCCCACACATGAGCAAACTGCTGTGTGTACAAGATTAAGACAGCATTGTTTGAAATAACAGAGTTAGAAATAACTTAATCGACTGTCAATAGAAAGCTACTTAATTGTGGATTACTCACACAATGGAATGCTATGCCCCATAAGAAATAATGAACATGCCCTCTAAGTCTAGTCTCTAGCTATTTCTAAAATGTATAGCCAAATAGAAAAGGCAAAGTACAGAAAAATGTGCATAGATTAATATCATTCGTGCCAGACTAAAGAACATGTTTACATATATACTCTTACATGTTCATATGCTAACATTTGCATAAAATATCTCTGACATAACTGAGAAATCGATCAGTGGTCACTTTGTTAAAGGAAAAATAGAGGGAGACACGAGTTACGCCTTCTTGTAAATTTGAATACTCAACCTTGTAAACAGCCTGTTCAAAAGCTAAAGTAAAAGAAAATATATTGTGAAAGAATATTTCTACAGGAAAGTGTTTAAAAAATAGTTTTTCCTCTTTGTTTCGGGGTGAGGATCGAAATATATTCAATTTTAAAATAAGTAACTGAACATTTTCAGTATTCGAACTTTCGTTGGATATTGGAATTGATTAATGGAAATACAAGTGCTTCAAAATGTTTTATTGAACAGTGGAGAGTAAAAACAAAACAGCAATTCCCTGACCGGGAATCGAACCCGGGCCGCGGCGGTGAGAGCGCCGAATCCTAACCACTAGACCACCAGGGAAGTTGAGAAAACCCTCCTGTTAGGCGCATATGACTCTTAAAACAGATGCCTGATGTTGCTTGGATTAGTCTTAAACGCTTCTAATATTGATTATATCTGTTAGGGTTACTTCCCTGTTTTTTGTTTTGTTTTGTTTTTTGCTTTCCAAGAGTCCAAGGCAGCATGAAAGAATTCCCAAAGCCTGGGGAGGATCGAGTACACATGATCACAGTTCCCAAGACCATGGAGAGCCGAAAGGACCAGCTTGGCCATAGAACAGAAGATGTACCTAGACAATTCTTCGCAAAAAACATCCAGAAAGTTTTCATTAGGGAAGAAAGTATGTGAGTAATGCTAGGAGATCCTGGGATTACTGCAGCTCATTTGTTATTTTTGTTTGTTTTTATGTCACGGGAATTTAGACCCAACTGTAGGCTAAAACGAATATTACAGACAATAAAAATCACCCAGCCTTCAGATGTTTAGTGCTAAGCAGACTCTGAGTTGAAGGCACTCGTGAGAGACTTAGGCACAGTGAAAAGCGAGGGCAAATAAAATTTAGGCACATGCCAGACTGAAGGAAAAGTTTAAACTTCCCCGTCAATGTATTGCGATAGCTTTGTATGAAAAAAGAAATGTGGCACAAGTTGACATAAATCCGATGTTTGCAATGGCGTACTTTCTATTTTCTTATGGGTTTGAAATTTTGCTTTTAGAAAAGCAAAAATGAAACCACCAAAAGCCTCTCCTCAGATCTTTATTTGGTCAGGTGACCGCGGAGTGATTATTAACTGTGTACGTGAGTTCACACAGAAATTTGAAAAGCACCCCTTTACATCTACCTTTAAATACGAAAATTCTTTCGATAATGAGTTGAAATTGAAACGTCAATGACGTGTGTATCAGCAGGACCTCCCAGGGAAAAAAATGAGTTGTAGGTAATGAGGGTGTTTGCGGTTCTATTGTTTTGCTTTAAAGTATTAATGTTAACGTGATAAGTATTAATCTTTCAGTCGTCCAGTCTCGACCTTCTTATGCGTTTGAGTGCTAGAAATTAAATAAAAAGGCAACTAAATGCTAAATATTTATTTTCATAAAAACTCAAGAATCCTGCTGTCAGGACACCAATGAGCCTATCTGAGTCCACTTCCACCGGAAAGCTACGTGTGCAAATAAATAAACTAACTAAACTTTAGAATAACGTCCTTGGATTGTTACAAGCTAATTTATTTCTCTCACAAAGGAAATCGGCCTCTGTTTCCGTCAACAGTACTTTTCATCAATTGTTGTGCCATCTGCTGGTACTTTTTGGAAATAGGCAAGCCTAGGAGAGTAGGGTGTATGAACCCTGGCGCTAAACCGCCGTTCCCCGTCTCAAAGCACAAGGGGGCGCTCAGCAAAGCATCAGGACAACACTAAATCTGCTGCTCTTCTCGCTACCACGTTTAAAGGCCAGTGGGAGGAGTGCGGTTCATTTACCTCACTCTGAGTGCTATTTTCTTTTCTCAAATATTCAGTTCATCAAAAAATATATCCAGCTGGCCATGTTACCACACGCTTGTAATCCTAGCACTCGAGAGGCTGAGGCAGGAGGATCACTGTGAGGGCAAGGCCAGCCTG